TCCTCATTTGGGCCCCTGCCAGACCTTGGAAGATCGCATGCGGCGCCTGCGCTTGCAAAAGAAGGAAGCTAAAGCGGAAGCCCGCGCAGCTGCGAAAGCACTGAAGAAAGAAGGCCGCCGCCAGCAAAACCTGAAGAAACGCGCCCGAGAACTCTCAGTCGCAGACTTGTTAGACGTGCTGGCAGTCAAGCGTGCTGCTGATGCTGCTAACAGAGCGTAGAAATCATAGCTGAACATGCTGTGTTGTTGTAACATGCTGTAGTAGTAGTGGCCTCTCACAGCATTGTTTTGTGATGCTCTGCTATGATTCTGTAGTTGCCGTACGCTGCTTGCCGCAGAGCAAGCACCGCTTGCCTTTTTCATCTTGGGATGAGAAGTCAGACTTTTTTATTCCGTGGTAGAATCGCTTGCCACAGAGCAAGCACCGCTTACCTCTTTCATCTTGGGATGAGAAGTCAGACTTTTTTATTCCGTGGTAGAATCGGCGTCAGATCTTTTAGCTCTTCTTGCACCTTGCCTGAAAGCATTCTTTTGTGATGCTGAGTCAAACGTGCTGCTGATGCGCACAGAGCGTAGAAATCATAGCTCAACATGCTGTGTTGTTGTAACATGCTGTAGTGGCCTTTCAAAGCATTGTTTTATGATGCCGTGCTATGATTTTGTAGCTGCCGTACGCTGCTTGCCAGAGAGCAAGCACCGTGCCTCAAAGCATTGTTTTGTGATGCTCAGCTATGATTTTGCGGTTGCAGTACGCTGCTTGCCAAGCAAGTGCGTGCTGGTCGGCTTTGTTGCAAAGGCGTCGGAAAACCCTAACATGTCACGCAGTTTGTATACGCAACAGCCACTATCCGGCAGCTGTGACTCGCAGACTCTCTGCATTCTACATATTGCCACAGTTTTCCTTTCAGAACCTCTCAGCCGGGTATCCGCTACCTGCAGAGAGTGCCTTGCCTTGCGGGATCCTCAGCTGCCGAAGTTGCAACAGCAGACGTCCTCTTAGAAGTTTTTGACCATGTGAAATAGCAGACGTGGGATTTGAAGATTCTTTTTGAATTGACATCTGAGACGTTGCACCTCTAAAGCCTGCGCACACGTTGCACCTCTGAAGCCTGCGCACGGAGCGACAACAACACACATGATCTGAGGGTTTAGGATCTAGGATGTTACGTTTAGGGTTTAGAGGCCTTGAACATGAAGCGCCTGGTGTTGTAGCCAGGCTATTGACGAAACCGAGCTCGAACAGTATGCGAAATCCCAGGTCCTGACACCATCTGGAAGTCTAGACCCGAAGTTCCAAAAGCAGACGTCCACTTTGCAGAGCCTCAGACCCGGAGTGACAACAGCAGACCTGGTGGAAGCTCCAACTTTCAACAGTTAACATTGAATTCCCCCATTCCCGAAGTGACAACAGCAGACTGGTGCTGTTGGGTGCTTAAACTTAAACCTTGAAACAACAGCAGACCTGGTAAAAAAGCCGCTCTCCAACGCGAAACCATCTAAGGTGGCGGTAGAGTCATTCGGTACAGCTTCAAGGCCTGCTGGCAGAGTGACAGCAGCAGAGACTTCAAAGACATGTTCTGAGATATCATATTGTTTGTGGTATATGGAACGCGTTTTATCTGTTATTCTTCAAGTGAAACTCGCAGATGGCTCTTTGTGTGGCGCTGCATCGCATGAGTTGAGCGCTCAAGTTTCGGCGCCAGGTTTCTTCTTGCTGAAGCCGGGGCACGTTGCTCAGTCTCCATCGTGGGACAAGGGTAGGGAGGAATTGCCTGCACTCATTGACAGTTGGAGAGTAGATTAGATACTAGAAAAGCACATATATCTAATCGTACGTATGAACCTCCATCAACTGTCAATGGGTGTGTGCAAGGCCTCAGGTCTAGGATCTGGGATAGGGAGGAATTGTCTGCACTCATTGACAGTTGGAGAGTAGATACTAAAAAGGCTCACATATCTAATTGTACGTATTTACTGTCACTGGGTGTGTGCAAGGCCTCAGGTTTAGGATGTTGGGTAAGGAGGAATTGCCTGCACTCATTGACAGTTGGAGAGTTGATATTAGAAAGGCACATATATCTAATTGTACGTAGTAACCTCCACCTGTCAATGAGTGTGTGCAAGGCCTCAGGTTTAGGATTTGCTGTAATTATCTAATTGTTCCACTGCTGGAATCGTGCTCAGAAGTGGTGTTCTTTGTTTGCGCTTGCAGACCATGTTTGAGCTTCGAAGAGAGGACGGGGGTAGCTTGGGTGCTCCCACTTATCGACAATTGAATAACAGCTGTCGTCGAATCATATCCCGTTGTACTACAATTCTATAAATTGTCAATGGGTGGGTGCAGTGCTCAAGCTTTCGGATGTCCTCTAGTGGGTTCCAGGATCGGAGTGCTGGTGCGCTCGCTTTGTCGTGTGCGATTGCATCTGAGCGAGAGTTTCCAAACAAGGTTCTTTCAAGCTGCGCACTTCGCAGGCGGAGGAGTGCTTTCAGCAATTCAAAGCATCTAGAGACAAGCTGGGTGTAGGCTTTTCTCATCGGCTTAGGTTGGGTACTGTCATCGCTCATTGGCAGTTAGGATAACGTTTATTGGCACTTTATCAAATGTTCGATGTTACGCGTGTTGACGTATTGCTTAAACTGTCAATGGGCGTGCAGTGCACAAGGTTCAGGTTCAGGACTTTTTGAGCTTGCTCCAGCAGTGGCTTCGTCGTTCGCGGTGCATCACATGAGCCACTTTCTCCAAAGAGACGACAGTTGGATAGCGCTCATTCCCGAAGCATGTGGAGCCTTTCGCAATATTCTTGTAAATTGGCAATGCGCAAGATCTGCAGGACGCTTGCAGTATGGATCGTCTGGAGCCTGAGGACGTGGTTCTCTCTTTGCAATTGCTTTCTCAGTGTGAAGCATGCAACGCGAAGAGCTTCTAACCACGGTTTGTTTCCAAGTGCAAGCACGAGACCGAACGAGGGATGGCGGCTTTGCAGACCATGTTTGAGCTTTGCAGAGACGACGGGTGTAGCTTAGATACTGCTCCCACTTATCGACAATTGAATAACAGCTGTCGTCGAAGCATATACTTTGCACTTGCTCTCTCAGTGTGAAGCGTGCAATTCGAATATCTTAAAAAAAAAAATTGTCACGGTTTTGCTTCCAAGTGCAAGCACGAGACCCCATGAACGAGGGATGGCGGCCATCTGAACCTGAACGTACGTTGCAACTCATGCTCATGATGCTCGTTTTCTCAGAATCATGATGCTCTTCCTGTTTCACCCATCCTGGTCACACACAAAACGTGCAGGGTAATTCGAAGTTTCACCCAATGAAGTTTCACTCAATGTGACTGCATAACACCAGAGAGTGTGACTTCCAGTTTCACCCAAGGTGGCCACATCAACTGTGGAAGATCTTTGCGGTGAGAACAGCGGGCACCGGTGGATGTGGATCCGGTTTCCTCTTGATAGTACGAGCACGGAACGCAGGACTGCGAAGTTCTAGAGGCAGGCTACACACCATTTGGACGATAGTCCATGCTACAGTGTTATTCCAATCTGCCTGGCCCGCCCCGGGCGTCACACACCTCCCGTTAATTAACATTGTATAACCCAAACGGGGTGTGGTGTAAAACGCAGGGAAACAGGGACCCGCAGGGACCCGCATGTGCGTTATTCCTAAGAAACGAGGGACCCGCAGGGACCCGCAGGGACCCGCGATTGCGGTACTCCCTAGGAAAAACGGGACCAGCAGGGACCCGCAGGGACCCGCGATTGCGGTATTCTTTGGGAGCCGCAGGTCCACCCTGTTTGCTGCAGGCCCTTCCGCGATGTGTGCCGTCTGTCGGCCCACTCAGCGAGCAGCTTTATTTCGCCTTGCAAATGCCCGCAATTTCTTGACTTTTTGTTTGCGGACCCACTGCGAGTCCCTAAGGGCCCAACGCTGCCCTTGGAGACTGATGTGTGCCGTGTGTCGGCCCATTCAGCGAGCAGCTTCATTTCGCCTGTCAAATGCCCGCAAATTCCTGACATTTTTGTTTGAGGATCCACTGCGAGTCCCTAAGGGCCCAACGCTGCCCTTGGAGACTGTTACGGTTCTGCTCACTGCGTTTCAGGAGTTGCTTATCGGATTATCGGCTTTCAGGGAAAACGGGACCCGCAGGGACCCGGCGTGGTGTAACACCTGCAATAACCCGAACGCGGTGCGGTGTAAAACCAATGCATTTTTCTTGCAGGGAAAGAAGGACTCGCGGGGGTGTAAAACGCACGGGAACAGGGACCCGCGATGCGTTTTTCTTGGGGAAGCAGGAACTTCCAGAGCGCCGCGATGCTGGTATGGTATTCTATGGGAAAACGGGGCACGCAGGTGGACTTGGAGAAAAGGTTGCTTGGCATACAGTGCGAGCGTTGGGTAAGAAAACGAGTCAGTCAGCTCAGAGGTCACTCATTTTTGTAGCAATGCTCAGATTGCAAGATGTGCCAGCGCTAATGCCATCCGTATTCTACAATCGGTCAGCGGCTGCAGGTGTGGCTCAGTACCATTGTAGAGTACGATGGCAGCGCATGGATATGAGTCACTACATGCTACCTAGATGTAGTCCAAAGCCCGCAGGGACGCGCGATTGCAGGGAAAGCGAAAGCAGCAGACGTGTTTTGCTGTGTCTAGACCCAAAGCGAAAGCAGTAGGCGCGGTTTTGCTGTGTCTAGACCCGAAGTGGAAGCAGCAGACGTGGTTTTGTTGTGTCTGGCCCCAAGTTGAAAGTGAAAGCAACAGACACGGTTTTTGCTGTGTCTGGACCCGACGTGAAAGCAACAGACGTGGTTTTGCCGTGTCTGGCCCCAAAGTGACAGCAACCGACATGGTTTTGCTGTGTACACACGATGTTTTCGTTGCCGAAGAAGCGGAACAGCTATGTGGTCTCAGCAAATCCAGCTGTTTCAAGAGACCATGTTTGGTGCTGCATTAACCGGGCTCAAGTCGTGGAAAAGCTTTTGTGTTCATGCTGTGAGATGGCGGCCAAGAAAGCGACGCAAGATCGAAAGCGTCGTGCTTGCGGAGAGTTGCGGGCGTTGGCCCAAGAGGTCGGTGTGGAAACTCCAACAAAGTTCGCGGACGTCGGCAAAGCTGCTTTCGACCAGGCAGGACCCTTTTGCCATGTTGTAGCTCAACCGGGTCAAAAGCATCAAAACTGCGTTAAAAGGAAGCAGATGTCATGTATCCAGGTTGCCACACAGGTTCGTGCCCTTGCCTCACCAGAGCAATGCTCCCAGCTGGACACAATCACGAACCGGTATGCTGGCATCGAGGCAGGTTGGTTGCAATTCCAAGACTGTTAGCAAGCCCCGTGCTTTTAGTGCGGAGTCAGGTTCCGCCGCAGCCTGACTTTGAGCAAGCGGATGCGCAACCGCCAGCTGCGGCAGCGGCACCCGCGTTCCGTTTGAGATCGACAGGTTGCCTTTTCACGTGGAATGATTTGTCTTTGAACCCGATGATCTTTGAAGAGTTCGTGGCTTGGATTCACACCTTGGAGTTCATCTACCGGTTTAGTGCCACTGTGGAGAGGCCTGTTGGCAAAGTGTGGAAGCATTTGCAAGCCTTCGTGAAGCATTAGGTTTGGAAGTAGTGCTGGACGTTGACAGGTCGATGCACTCCGATGAATTACGCTACCACTTCCATGCTTTTTTCGAGTTCCAGCGCCGTGTTGACTGGACGTCTTTGCGGACTGATGTGCAGTAGCGTTTCTGTTTCCTGGTTGTGTCAGTTTTTGATCTGTGTAACTCGACTCGATGACCGCGGCGCAGGAGTGTGGAGTTCCATTCCATCAGGCCGCATGCGCGTCCAACGTGTGCCAGAGGGCCGAAGCTGCGCGATGCGTTGGATCACGGGCATTTTTATGTCTACTGCGACAAGATTGGAACTGAAGCTGTAAGGCGGACTTTCCACAAAAGCACCACATGATTTCTTCAGACATGTGCTTGGTGTGAAATTGTTTGCAGGGAATTATCTTCCGTGGCGTGATTACGCAGTTCGTGGATTCTGGATAGATGTGCTTTGGTCCGAGCACAAGCTGAGCCACACAACATATCTGCTGTATGCGTGCAAGCCTTAACAGTCTTTGCGTGTTGCCAGCATGTGTCGCAAGAGCTGCATCTTTCAAGGATCCCTGCATTTTGTGCTGAGGTCCAGAGTTCGTGTTGGTTTCATGGGCCGCCAGAAGCAAGTCGAAGCTGTGCAGCGGTTTGAACAAGCGGAATGGTTTCTGCAGAAGCAGACAGCGGTGGCGAGCCAACTTTCTGCCCTAAGACGACCCTTCAAGCCTGAGATTCTCGACCTCGTGCGTCCCTGGGCCGGGCAGTATGGCGAAGATCAGATGAGGTACCAGTTTCTCGTCATCCGCGGGGGGTCTTGCTCTGGAAAATCAACTTTGGCAAAGGCTCTGGGAGAGATTTTCAGCTTTGGTCAAGTCTTCACACAAACTGTCCAAGATGCCCCAGCGCCAGATCTGGCGAAGTATGATGCCCAGAAGCATGGTTACTTGCTGTTCGACAATGTCAACAGTCATACTTTCGTTTTAGACTCCCGAGCACTGTTTCAAGCAAACAGTGACGTCCACACGCTGGGAGTGAGCCGTACCTTCATGTACAGTTATTCCGTCTGGCTCTGGAAGGTGCCCATAGTGGTAACTGTCGATGATTCCGCAGAGTGGGACAGCACAGAACCCTGGACTGCAGACAATGCGATTGAGGTTTTGCTTCCAGGTCCCTGCTACACGTAGGTCCGGAAGCTGTGTGTGCATCCCTTGGTTTCACGGACGTGAGGATGTCGCTAAGCATCCGACGAAAAGCGACCTGATGGAGCTTTGAAAGTTGGACTTTGCGTTTTTGTGGAGATTACGAGAGGTCTTCATACATTCCGTGTGGAGTTGAAAGAATGGCAAGCAGTGGCGGGTATTCCAAGCGTATTTTGTGAAATTTAGTGCACATACTTCATAAGCCATTCTTTTTTAACTTCTCTTCTGGTTATGAGTTTTGGAGCAGGACTGTGGTGTCACACAAGGGCGTGTGGTTTCCGTTTGGGGTTGAGTGTTGCAGCTGAAACCCGATTGCAAAGAGACTTCTGGCATGCTCTCGTTTTGGGCGCTGTCCTGCTAGAGAGAAGTTGGGGGTCAAAGGACGGGGCCCTCTCAGTATGTACCATTGTGTTTGCTGTTACACTCTTCGTAAGGACATGCGACAATACATGTGTCAAATGCGGCTTGCAGGCGAGACATGAAAGGTTTGCAAGAAGTGGATCGCGAAGCGCTGCGGGTCTGTACCCCATTCACAGTGACTGCAAATGCAGGAAACCCGTCCCTTGGTGCCACGGTGCTCCCGATCAGCCGTCATCGCTGCGCCTTGCATCAGAAAACGCAGGGTTGGATGATTTGTTTCAGGGTTGAAGATGAAACCCATCGGAATTGGCAGTGCCCCTGCTGGACGGAGATTCGGCATGAACACTTGGGTGATGCATCCGATGAGTTGTGTGCTTCGCTCAGTCAGTTGTCTGTGAAGCAACTTTCGTCCGGTGTTCGTGTTATGTGGACCAAAATCTGCTCCTGCATGATCGCCGTTCACCGGGAGAGCGACAGCTGCTCATGCAAGTTCTGTGTGACTGCAAGCTGGCTGCGCTTATTGCGCTTGCAATTCATCGTCATGTCAGGGTGGTGTTATGCTGCCTGTGCTGGCTTGATTCGTGGAACTGGCATGCATGTTTCACACTGTTTGCCAATTTGTACAGTGTGCCAGGTTTCCTTTTCAAAGTAGGCTTGGCCTGCAATGCGAGGGATCTCGCGCCTGGTTGCATTTTTGTAAGTGGTGTTTCCACTTGTTCCTGTGGGCTTTGACGTCTTGTCTTCAGCCCCGCGCATCTCGAAGTTTGCCCTGCAGGGTGTGTTGACCTATGTGTGGAGCTTCACATTGCTCCCTGAGGTTTACGATTTGCGGTTGTTGACTTCAGTCGTTCCATGGGCATTGATATTTGATCTTTGCCGTACGCCTGCTCAGTTTGCACCACGCAGGGTTTGCTGATGTATGTGTGGAGCCCAAGGTGTCCCTGAGGTCAGCGATCCTCCAGCTCGTCTGGGCAATGTTCTTAAATGAAAGACCACTACTTTTAGCTGCTCTGTTTGGAACGCCGGGGTCACCTCTCACAAATATTTGGGACTGTGGGTGCTGGTTTGCAGTTTCGAGCGCTGGACTTTGAACTCCAAAGTGGAAGGCTTTAGGTGAAGCCGGAACGCTTGCTTGCACGCCAAGTGCCACAACAAACCGTGCGGGGAACGCTTGGCTGCACACGCCAAGCAGTGCCACAGAAAGTCGTGAGGAGAACGCTTGCTTGCACACGCCAAGCAGTGATGCACACGCCAAGCGCCAGTGGCACCGCAAGCGCGCGATATTCGACCTCTCTGTTGCAATCGAAGACATGTGGCGGTTGTCAACACAACCCACACGCGGAAACGGAATCCCGGAGCCGACGGCTGCGAAGAAGAGGTAGGTTTCCGTTTTGTTGCGAACACAAACATGCGGTCAAGCTTTCTGCCGCTCCCGTTCCGCAGCCGAGCTTCAGGTCCCAAACGCAAAATTCCTCTCATTGGCCAAGTGGTCTAACCACCGGTTTGGATGCGTCATGGTAATCACTTTCTGGCGACTGGGGATGACTCGGAATGACTTTCAGATTTTTGTTGGATCGGACATTTCCCCCCTACTGAACTTTCGCCAATGGTACAAAAGAAGGGTTCGCTGTCCCTTGCACGCCTACGAAGATGTGGAGTTGGGATGGCAATTTTTTTTGGGCCCAGCTTCCTCCACGAATGTTCAGATTGAATTTCGTCGGCTTGGTGAGTCGTTCGTGCTGGTTTTCATTTGCGTCCGGAACTTTTTTTTGGGTTCATGAAGTGGCGCAGTGCTGACGATACGTTTAGACGTAGGCTGAAGCCCTTTTGTATATATATATATACATATAAACACATATAAATCTACATATATCTACAATACATATATGTATATATATATACATATATATATATATTCCAAACTCGCAAGCAAGCTGAGCTTGTACGTTGTGTTCATTGGGGGATTATCCATGGCGGGATGACAGCTGGAACATTCGAAGAATGGAAAGCCGTGCATGGATGCGAGTTGCTTGGCATGACATATGTCGTATTCGTCACTGGCAGCTTCTGCATAAGATTTCATCGTTGCGGCAGCGACAGGTTTCGACACAGAAGAACTGCTGCGGAAATCCACCGCTGTAGACGCGGTCAGCGCACAGACATCAAACCGTCGATGCCTGAGCAATGCACACTAAGCAAGTGCTTAAGCTTGACACGATGGTTTGCAAGTCCAGGAGTGAATGGAACAAGTTTGGTTACGCGGACAGAGACGAGGTGAGGGTCAGAATCACTAAATTCTCGGGGGTCGCCGTGCTCTTTTTCGGTGGCAGGTGCTTCATCGCGAAATCAAGTATGATGCCCAAACGTTGCCCATTCCACGAGCTGTCGGCCTAGACTTGCTGTGCCTCTAGTTTTTGAAGCATCTACAGGCCATTTTATTGCACCGAATTGTGGGAGGTCAAACGTGGCGAACTGTCTGTTGAAGAGTTCTTGAAGGAGATATGATGGGCTCGTGACATGGTTCGGATTGTGCGACACACATGGCGATCTTGCGCATGCCGACTTTGAGCAAGTTCATATAGTTGGAGCACAAGGGCCGACGGTGTGGCATCACACTGCAGGAATTTGCGGCCAAGTCTACACCCGTGATCATCGAGGTTCCGAATCCGGAGCTAACGATGTGTTTATGAGAACTGCGAGCTCTCGTCAGGATGCGTGCTCATCTTGGCCAGCTTCTAGCAGATGGTCTCTTGACGCTTTAGAAGAAAGGCCAGCGAGTCACCAATAATCCATGTCCAGTTGATAGCTACTTTTTCTCCACTTCCAGGTTCCGTCATGTTGATTTCAAAGTTGGGCCCAGCTTGCACGCTTGGCTGTCGTCATGGACGTGGGAAAAGATTGGAAGATTGTTTGTTGCAACCAGTTGGCTTGTTCATTCAGGCTGCTGCATTGGCTATGGTTGTCTACAATCTAGTGCCAGGAAAACTGACAAGGGCAAGCCGTGGCCTCAACTTGTCGTGTGGTGGTGTAGTGCAAGTGTGGCCTGACGGTCTGTCATAGATGTGGATGTCGGTTGAGAATATGGACCGCAGGAACATACAATTGAAGATGAAATATTTTGCAGATTACTGCCGACATCAGAGGGATGTCGTGCTCTCAGCAGGACATAGGCAGGGTTGTGAGCGGTTTCGGCACATCCTAATGCGGCATTCCATTGTTGTAAGGACAGTCCATTGTACTTGTTTGAAACGAAAGTCGATGAGCTGCTGGCATGATTGCCAGCACCCTGCTCGACCTCATTGGTAAGTGTCTGTGGTTGCTTTGCCAGGAAACCAGTGCAATGAGGCATTTGCTGTCTGATTTCGAGATGCCGGATCTCTTTCCCGATGACTGGTCCGTGCCTCCATGCCAAGCAGATCTCGGGGTACGTTCTGTAGGCGAGTCTCGTTGAGGTTTGCCCTAATGAATCCCGATGCGCGGCCCCCTCATCGATGGTGGTGTATTGGACCAAAAAGGCACAATGCAAATCCAAAAGCAGAAAGGTGGTACGTGGTGGCACGGTAAGTAACACCTGGCCGCTTGCAGGTCTGGGACTACGGTGTATGCCTTACACACCATGGTGTTGGCTTGAGAACTACGGCCTAGGGCTCCGCAGTCGAGGTGCACACCGATCCTCTGGGCACGGCAGCATGGAATGCTTTTAGCTCAGCTTCTCATTGAAGCCTTGTCTGTACCTTCCCATACCAATCAATGTGCCCAAGGCTGTGACTCACGGTGTGAAGCGCTGGGTTCTTTTCGAGCCAAGCACCCCGAAGCGCATCGACCCTCGACTTGAAAGTGGTTCTGTGAACGCATGAACCCTCGCTCTCTTGTCTCCTCATCCATCTCGGCCTGCAGGCCAAAGGGAAGGATGTTCTGCAAAAAGGCCGGGTGTTTCTGACGTGGCTTTTTGCTTCAGGTTTGCCTCCCCGCAGCAGACGGTGCAAGTTTCGAACTCGAATCATCAGGGGGTTGTGGCATGCTGTCGGGGTGTAGGGCACAAAGGTGTGTCGAAAAGCTGCCCGAGCCATGCATGACAATAGCATTGAAGAGTTCGTTCGGAATGTAGCACGGCAGGGCACAGTTTGCCTGCTGCAGGTGAGGACACAGAGGCCTTTGTTCTTGGGTGAGTTCCCTCTTTGGAAGAAGCAAACCGTCTTGATATGTTTGTGTGCCAGGCCATAATGTATTTTGATTTCATCTTGCCCCGCCTGAAAGAAGCTTATCCAGATGCTCTGATCTCGGTGTTCATGGGCGCACTGAGATTCTGCTGCTTTGATGGGGTGAAAGCCGAGGTCAAAACATACGAAGGGCTGCAACGTCCGGGAGACCTCATCTTCGTGCCCGGGGACGCCGCGACTTTTGCCTGCGTGTGCTCTGCGTGGAAAATCGCGAAGCCCGCGCCTGCCTCATGAGCACGGTGGCCAGCAGGACTGGTGGCACGGTGTGCTGAATCTGCAAGCAATGTCCTCAATGTTTTCCAGAAGCTTAAAGCCTGCTACTGAAGATACTGCGCTAAGGTGCAAGCTTTTAGTTCCTCTCTGGCTTCTCGCCCGTGAGTCAATGAGTCAAATTCGACGTTTTCCATCAAGGACTGTGTTGCGGTGACCCAGAACTACTGCACCTCGCCTGCACGCGCTGGTGCAGTGTAGCATGCGAAATTAGGCCAGTCGCCCAATACACTGGTGTCTTGAGGTGGGCGCGACAACTTTGAAACAGTTTGGTGTCGAACTCGTAAGGATCGGGAGAAGGCCTTGCCAGACTTGTGTCAGTCACCAGCAAGGAGACTTTGTTTACAACTTCTCAGGTGGCATACTTGTGGCTTCGCAACATGAGGAAGTTTGCCCCCAGGCACGCACCTTGTCATCGTGTAGGAGAAGCTTGTAGAGCTGGGTACTAGGCTGACATGGCATGTACCCTGGATGTAGTAGCTGGCTTGGTTTTCTGGCGGAGACCAGATAGGAGCAGTTAGAGCCGGTATGGATGTGGATGTCACTCGTCGCGTTGCGAGACAGTGGACAGCACCAGTGCCTCGTAGGTTCGCTGTTGTTTTCCTTTTGCAGGTTGTACAACTGGGCGATCGACTTGAACACTCGTGATGGCCCCTCAGCTCTGTTTAGGTCTATGCTTCGCCTGCTCCTTGTGACTGTTAATTACTGTTGTCTTGCCGATTCTCATCAGCTGTTTCCGGCTGGTTTGGCTCATGGCAGGCTATCGCATGCGACACGAACGCAGTTCAGGCCCGATGTTTGGGAGCTGGACTTCTCAGTTAGCCATGGCCTATGCGCGCATAAGGTCTGTCGCATGCAGGTGAGAAGAAAGCCGACTCGGATAGGGACTCCAGCAACATGGCTTCAGATCAGATCGTCTTGTGCTAAGAAATCCGAAAGGCAATCATTCGATGGGCTCTGCCGAAAAGATCTTTCAGACCCCCTCTCAAGCCCACTCCTCATCACTTTTTGTTTTGTCTTCGGTTTTTTGGGTTAAGTTTCAGGATTCCAAGCTTTGGATTAGGGTCTAGGGGATAAGTGTTGGGGTGCGGGGAGGCGAGGGCTTTGGATTAGGGTTTAGGGTTTGAGCATTTAGGGTTCGGGGTTCTGAGAGGCGCGCGGTGGGGGGGAGTGGGGATTTTGTTCCGACCGCAACCAGCTCCTGTTTGTATATTCAGTTTCGTAAACCGTCCTACCGAAGGCAGCGACTCCTCCAGCAGTGACTCCACCAGCGACGAAGCAGAGGACCTTTCAGCAGAAGGCCTTGAAACCGTCTTGGGTCGGGTGCTCAGAGGCCAAGGCCCCAAGGCAGAAAGAGCTAAGTGTGACACACGGGCGCGGTCCAGGTGCTGGTATCCTGCTCGGGGACCGGAAGCGCCAGGCCCGGCCTTGAAGCCTTGAATGAAGGGTCTCCACGGTATTAACGCAGGGGCTTCGAAGCAGCCTGTGGCCTGTGGTTGCAACAGCATGATAGAAACCACGAATCGACTCCGCATGACAATTGGGTGCGGTTAAGCTTATCACAGCAGCAAAGCAGCTGATGCCTCCAAACCTGCTTGCATGCACCGCTCTCTGACTCTCGGAAGCGACTAGCATACTGGACCAATGCTGACCCCAAGTACCAACGTTCCTATCAAATTCCTGTCGCTGCGGTTTGCAGTTAGGCATTCCTTAGGATTTGCTAAAAGAGTGGTTGAGGGTTTGGGATTGTTCAAGGTTTAGGGTTTGAGCTGTCATCGTCCAGGGTTGAGGGCTTCGGATTGTTCAGGGTTCAGGGTTTGGGCTGTTCAGGATTTTAGTTTTAGGGTTGGGTTTCACAGGTTTAGGGTTCCACATTGGTTAGGCAAAGTTCTTCAGGGTGTGGGTTTTGGGGTCGTGTAAAGCTTTGGGCATTGGGTTTGCTTTTGGGTTCACCTGCATAGATGGAGCCTAGCGGCCAAGAGTACATGTGAGACCACCAGGTCATTGCCCAGAGCATGACAAATTCACAACAACAACTGTTTTTGCATGACTACGGGAACTCATTGTTCACTTGTACCCTCCAACATACAGAAGACCTCAAGAACCGCAAACCCAAAGAGGAAGGGGGAGGGAGAGGGGGGGAGAAGGGGGGAAGGGTTGGAGCGGGGTGTGGAGGAGGGAGAGAGAAAAGCCCTTCTAATCATGGTGAAGAAAGAAAGACGGAAGACAAACAGATCCAAGATGTTAAATTTTTCATCCAGCCATGTACCGTTCTATAGAGACGTGCATTTTGTTGAACATGTGTATCACTATATCACTATCGGAGCGGTGGAGTCATGTCATCTAGCATTCCATACATGTTCTGTGTGACTGTGCAAGTTTGGGTGCCCATATACGAAAAACTCCACAAACCTTGCCCGCCTAGGATCGGTAGGCCGGTAGGCTCATGTCGACCCGTCAACGAAAAACGTGGAACAAGCTCGTCCTCCTCGTGGTCCGCTGCAGGCAGTATCCTGGCCTGGTATCGCTGCATCGTTGGAGCCTGCGCAGTGGGTTGCTGAGCATTGCTCCGGTGCCTTGTGTTTAAACTGGGAGTAGCAAATTTGAGTGCCTTGCGAGGTCGCGTAGGCGCTACGAGCTGACCGCTCATGATGAGCAAATGGCATGAAAAGCCTGCTGGGAATCAGGGACGAGGGAACGGAAGCTGTACCGAGGCAACGATATAACAATGTATTCTGTCTTCCGTCGCTGCGCAGCGTAATTAGTCAAGCACATGGGCTTCCTCGCACATGCTTCAGTGTCATGGAATGGCTTAGACGAGCAGACTCCAAGAAAAACAGCCTCAGTTTGCTTCAAGCAGATTGTCGGAGTGCAAGCATGTTGGTAGAAATTCTAGCTGCTCAAAACATCAAAATTGCATTGAGTTCAGTTCAGCATTTACTGTTAGCCATGCAATACGACTGCGACATGTGTGTCTCACAGATGTGAGAAGCTGACGGAGCGACGTGGCCTTAGCATGCTGATTGCTTCTAGCACTTGCGACAGAAGTTGTCTGTGGTGCAGAGAGGCAACCTTGTCATGGCAGACAATGTTGCCCCGAGGTGTTCTGACATGCTTCATGCGAGGAGGCATCATTTTTTCCACAGTATGCTGGGTGTCGCCAGGTATATTTGCTTCCTCTGTAAGCGGAAATTTGGCAGCGCAGCCCTTCTCACGAAGCACAAGCTCCGGGCTCAGCAGCTTGTGCCCTTGAATGCATGTCAGTCGGGCCTCTAATGATGCATGACAAGAAAGCTATCCGTCCCGAGATTCAGTTCAGGCAGCTTTCCGAGTTGCACAGACGAAATCTCAGCAAGCAGGCGCTTGCCGACGATCGCTGTCTGGGTAGCGGGTAGCCCGTCGTCACAGTCGTTTGACAGGAGGAAGAGAACCAGCAGCGCAAAGAGGCCTGCAGCATGTTGATGTGCATAATGCCGAGAAAGTGTTTTCAGAGGAGCTGCGACAAGCTGTGGCTGCAGTCAAGAGGCAGGTTCAGGACACTTTTGGGCGCACACATGGGCTGCAGGTACAATGCAGGGTGTACGGAGGATTTGCAGTAATTCATGGTGTGGGGGCAATATGAGTTGCAGGTTCTATGAAGGTAACTTTGACACGGGTCACTCGACTCGACCGATCTGCCGATGGTCTTGTAAGTCTTGTGAGGAAGTTGACATTTCGTTGAGCAAGCAAGACGTGGCAGATGAGGTACGTCATGCCTGTTTCGATTTGCCAGTGTTGCGCAGATCGTCATGCAGGCTTTGGAAAGCCAGCGGATGAGCTTGGACTTGAAGTGCCGGCAGGCTCGCCAAATCCGCGCAAAACCTTCTTGTATGATTCTGTTCCTGACAATTCTCAACTGTGTTACAAGCCGCGGACAGCTGTTTGACCGTTTGATTGAGCACATGCATAATGCCATGCAAACGTCAGGTATGGAATGCTCGGATCAAAATCGAGCACGGATGGCTCACATAAGAAGTTCGAACAACGAAAGCAGATGCTGGACTTTGTTCTGTGACAGCAACTTTCTCTGCCCTGCTGAGTTTCATCGTTCTGGGGGAGTTGTCGTGCAGTCCGGAAGAGATCAAAGCGGTACAAAGAGTTGTTGGAGCATCGGCCTTCGGAGCCCATCGAGCCTGGAAAACAAGCTCAGCTAACTGCTGAGCAAAAAGATATTCGTTGAAGGCATCAGAGGCCAACAACCGCGCCAGAAGCCAGGCGGCAAGGAAGCAGACCACGCAAGGCAACAACTCTAGGACGCACGTTTGAGTGCAATGTGAAATGGGATGTGAGCACATCATATGTGCGGGGTCGTTTATGGGCAAACTGGCAAAGCTTGCTGCTGTCCAAGTCGTAGTCAAGTCGTGTTGTCCCGACGGATGATGTTCCGGCAATAGCGAAGCAGAAATTGGTATGGATCGGGCAGATTCGTCGTGGAGAGTGAGAATGATCCTCGGCACAGTTTCCGAAAATCACTTCATTCAAGTCCGGTGTTTCTCATGCAGGGGTGATCTGGCGGTTCACAGTTGCTGTCAAGCAAGCAACAAGCTCATCGTTTGCTCCTTTCTAGGTCATGGCAGAGTATGGTCAAGCCCGATTCTTAGGAAGCATCTCAGATGTCGCTTGCCGAATTGAAATCGCCCCAAACTGCCTGTGTCTGAGGTGCAGGAGAAGCTGGAAATCAATCGGCACCAGCAACTTTGCGAGCGACTCGCAGGTCTGGGCAGTCACATCAGAGTCACATCTACAATAGAACTGCCGTGATGAGCACCAGGAAGTGCCGACGGCAGCCCGCCGTGGATGCTCACCGGGGTCAGCTCAAAAAGTGGTTTTATAGCTTCGTCTCATGCTGTTGCCACTGTAGAGGCGCATGAGACGAGCGTCGGACGCCTGCTGATGTCTGCAGGTGCTAGTGACTTCTAGTGCTCCGGGGATGGGAAGCATCTCAGTGTTTCTGTCCATTGGGGCCTTCTGCGCAGGTGCTGCATCTTGGCAGGGCAACAAGGCGCGGATGCTCCAGCAGAAGAAACGCAAGCCAGTCCACAGCAGCGTCTGCAGGAGGTGCAGGAAGATCGCTTTCGCAAAGCAGCCTCGCTTCAAATCCGACAAGACTAGACTCACCTGCCGTCGGTCCAAGCAGGGCTGATAGGTCTTGAAAGGGTGGCCCTGTCTTGCCAGTTACCGATGTTGAGCTGCAAGCACCCGGAGGTCAACGCATTGTTGGCCCCCTGACAGCAAAGGCATGTTAGTTTTTGCGGATACTCCCCCTGATCTTGCGAAGGTGTTCTCGTGTTCGACGGACACTCCGGCAGCTTATGCGCCGGGACCCCGACCCTCGGCGACTCGCAATGGCAACACGTCCCCCAGACCAACGGAACGGAGTAATCTGCAGGTTGACATCATGATGGACTGGTTGCCGAGGCGAGGCTCAGAGCTGGTAGGGCTCCCACCCCCTCCATTGACCAGAGGGTCAATGTGTGCATATCTCGTCAGGAACCTCCAGAAGTGTCTGTCGGCCAAGCCGACGCTGACGGAGGAGCATTTGAAACAGGCAGCATGATGCCCAGCCCGCACCCAGCAGTATTCAGCAAGCAGGCTCTGACACAAGGTTGATTGCAGTTTCAAGGTCACAGAGGCATGCGTCTTGACAGACGACGAGTTCCTGATCAAGGAAGCTTTGGCAAGATTGTGTGTGTCGTGCGATTTCGATCTTGACAGTCTTTTTTGACAAGGCTTAGTGCTGAACAGGCCCGGGAGCGTGAGGCCTTAGATGGTACCACGATGATCCTGTGCCTTATCTGGCCTGACGAAGGACCATACATCCCATGTGCAGCATCTTTAGTACACCTTCCATAAATGCTTTTGCTTGCCTCAGAGGACGCCGCGGAGAGTCACAGCCCAAAGGCAAAACCAGGCAGGGCCGGTGGATTTCAAGCACGTACGGAATGAATTATTAATGGGTGCTGTGACACATGAAGAGCTTTCAGAATGAGAGCTGTCCGGAGCCAAAGCGCGGATTGTCGCATGGGTGGAAGTGGAGTGGATGGGGGTGGCTGGGGATCATTCGCCCCTCGAACTCTTCGCGCCAGATCGTCTTAGCCTTTCAGATTGAAGCCCGAACTCCTCGCAGCCGCTTACTTCGAAACCAGGTAGAAAAGGAGAATCGCGCAACACTTCTTTCTCCATTCGCTTGAGCAAGAGTTGTCTGCACCCTGTGGGCAGTCCCCTGAGCGTCACAAACCCCCCGGCCACAACCCCGGTTTTGGATTTGCTGGTGCACAGTATAAGAAGGTCGTTGCATATGCCCTGGACATGCTGGCAAGTAGCTGTTTGAGGTTTTCTTTCTGCTTCCCGGCATGCCTGTGGTGCAGATATCCGAGGTTCTGACAGTTACATGTACACGTGTGTAGAAACAAACTTGCGTTCTGCGACGCAGATTGTCACTCCGTCTCAGCCCTCAAACACCATCGTGGGCAATGGGGAGCAGTGCATCGGGAAAGACATGCCTCCCAGAATGCGCAGCACCAACATGCTTAGCTGATTGTATTCAGGCTCCCTCACCAATCTGAATGGTTTTGGCAACCCCTAGCGTCTGTGACGGAGCAGTCTTTGCCGGGGTCATTGTGTCACCCGCAAAATTGCTTGAAATGTTGCGCCTCAAGAATTCAGAGTCAAGGATAGCTGACAGAGTGTGGTTTCCATTTCTTCAAGAAAAGAGAGCAGAGGCTAAGGGCTCGTTACGGTTGTGAGCACTGACAGTGACAGGCTTCTGGTGGCCAACTTGGGCGATTCGCGGGCAGTGCTAGGACGTCAGAAGGCTACTTGTTTCGCCAGTCTGCATGCGGCCACCAGTATCCTTGTTGCTCGCGATCGCCAGGCAGGAAGTCTTGGTGCCGTTCGCCTTTCTGATGACCACAAGCCTGGACGACCAGATGAACAGCGTCGCATTGAAGGCAATGGTGGAGTTGTGGACATGCAGGCCCCCGATGTGGCATCATGCAGCGACGGGCATGCGCATGTCAGCAGTGTGTGGAGACCAGGGCGTTTGGCGTGTCTTCACGCCCGGCCCCGCAACCTTCGGTGGGCGAAGTCTGCTTTGGGGTCTTGCAGTATCTCGGGCCTTTGGCGACTTGCTGATGAAGGAGACTTTGCAGCTGCATTGCTTGCCATCGGACGGTCAATCTGCTAGCATCTGCTCAGGAGCCACAGAGATATGGATGCGTAGGCCTTTACGGAAGCCTCCGATTAGTTTGGACAAACACTTCCTGGCTAGGCTGCACTGGTGCACTGGTGAGTGCTATGCCTGAGATCACGCTGCACGACTTGAATGCCAATGAGGTTCTGCTGCAGCTTTTGCACTGTGACTTCAGTGAGCTCGAATGAGTGAAGGACAGATTCCTCGTCCTGGCGTGTGACGGAGTTTGGGACGTATTGGATGATGAGGAGGCCGACATGTAGCCTTTGTAGACCAGCGAGAGGGTGCGTGTTTGGTGCCGATGCGTGGCAGGCTGTCTTGGTGTGTGCGGAACACAAGACCGCCGACCTTGCGGCTCATGCTCTGGTTCGGCAGCTGGCTCTGTCAGTGATCCACCTGCTCAGCTGCGTCGACTGATGTCGACTGTGCACTTAGGCGGGCCTTCGAGCTGGGTAGCGATGACAATCTCACTGCTGTCGTTGTCGCATGGCAAACTAGTGACAAGGTGCTCTGACTGTCTTGTGTTTTACATTTCTTAAAGACAGATGAATGAAACATTGCATGAGTCTTCCGTGCGACGTGCAGGCTGACGCCGACAACAAGAAGCCTCGTCTCGACTGATACATACATCCGCGTAGCCAATTGCAAGTATATCAAGTCTATTGGCATCTCCTCACTTTTGAACATGCTCGAACCAAAAACATCTGTTTGGGTTAAGAACATGAAGCTGGAAATGGTGGACAGGTTGTTGCTCATCCTGTGTTGTTGTGCGGGCCAAAAAGCTCTGCTTCTTGCAAGATGTCGCCTGTCTTGAAAGCATGTGCTGCTGGTTGTTCGAAAGCTTCACGGAAAGCTACTGCATCGGGTCGAAGCCTGCCATGCTGCAGGTCACAAGTACGATAGGGTTTAGCAGACCATGCTGCAATCTCTTGACAGCTGGTGAGTGTTGACAATCTGCATGACCTTAGTGCACGCAAGACTTGCTTCGAAAACTGTTTCTTCCTGTAGCTCGTTGAGGTTCACCATGTTTGTGTTGTCAACAGCACATCTGGGGAGCAAAGCAGAACTAGGCGCGGGAGTGAAATTCACCCCACCCCAGAGCATACATGGAGCGATGGGAGGCGGCCAGCCGATTCCTCAGCGGAAAGAAAGTACAGAGAAATGCAGTCGCGGGCGTGCTATGTCCAGTGTGTCACCTGCCATACTACGGTTGAATAGTGTCTAGGTTACATGAGAGCAACTCTGGACTCTAGGCTTCAGCCATCGTCAAGTGACTTTTGGTTTGAGAAGGGGGTTTGCAGCTTAGATTGGCGCCCTGCTAGAGCATGGCTTCCAACATGCAAGTTAATTGGTTTCTCGACAAAGTCTTGGAAAATTTTGGACCCCTGAACGCCAGTGGGAAGAGCTGAGCTGCGGACCGTAACCCTGATCTGGGAGCAGAATGCGTGTCAGAAGAAGCACAAGCCATTGTCTCATGGTTAGTCCAAGCTCTTCATTAGGGAAGGGGCCGCCAGAGTGCCGCACGAGGTCCAGATCGTAGGCGAACTACTATCCGTCCGTCAGGACCTTCAGTGATTATCAGACGGAATATGTCGCAGAAGTGTTGATGGGTCGAGATGAGTCCGCTTCAACGAGTTTTGCCTTGACATGTTCGTAGGATTGAGTCTGCAGAGCGGCGGTTTCGGAATTCTCAGAACCCATCAGCCATCCAACCGAGGTCAATTGAAGTGGGCGGGTTTCGCATTTTCAAAGTCAATCCCGGCAGTCCAGCTGCTGAAGCTGGCTTGGAAGTCTTCTTCGACTTCATCGTCGAGATCGATGGCGTGCACATGGATGCGGACCAAGCTACATTTGCCAGTGCCATCCAAGAGGCAGAGAACCAGCGAACGAAGCTAGTTGTTCACAACATCCGCACCCACACGCCGGGGCCCTGGCAAGTCTTGGACACCGGAAGTACAATGGACGGCCACATTTGCAGGGCCCGGGATGTTTACGTGACACCGCGGCAGGGAGCTGAAAGTTGCGTCGTGGACGCCTGCCAGTCCATGGGTTTTGACCAGCTCCATCTGGAGAAAATGTCACTCTTGAGGCGCTGGGGTGGTGCTGGTCTTTTGGGTGCTGTTGTCCTGTCCCAAGTATGCTCACAGTCTTCAGAATATGAGTCTAAGTAGTTGCTGTACGCTGTTTGAGACAAGGTAGTCTGTGAGTCTGTCAGGTTCGTTATGATACGCTCGAGAGCGCCGAAGGGCAGGCTATCTGTTGTCACGTCGTTTCGGTTTTCTGTTCCTTCAGTTGTGCTTGGAGCTCCCACAGTTGCAGGGCATGCGGGTGCTGAGTGTCTTCCCAAACTCACCTGCGGAAGCTGCCGGTTTAGTGCCGAACAAGGACTTGCCACATCTTTCAGGCGCATTCGCGTCGCTTCTGCAGACTTGTGCAATGCGTGTACTGCAGGACTTCCTCCTCGGAACGACGGAAGTCATGTTCAGGGACATGGACGCTTAGACTCTGAATTGGCGCATCGGGTGAGCAGACTTCCATGCTGATAGATTCAGCTTCCGCCCAAGTGCACTCCATGCTTGAACTCTGCCTCCCCGTTAGCTATTCGACTGGGGTGCCCACCGTCTGACGCAGCGATGCACCGTTCGATAGAATCCCGATAGAATTGCCTGCGGTGTTGACAATCGCCCTGAAACGACCTCCACCGTCATCAGCGAGAACAGAGCCAGTGGCAGCCAACGGTCAAAAAATGTTCAAGCGCACGGTGACAGGTTACGATGTCAGCTTGCAGCCAGTCTAAACCATTCCTTCAGGAGCTCGTGGTAATTCTGTATGAACTGTCTCGATACGTTGAAAACGATCTGTGGAGTCCAGTGGTTTGGCGGACCCCAACTGACAACGAAAACATCCCTCATGCAGCGTCTGTATGTGAGAGTCGAGTCGAGGATGTATAACTGCATAAGCTTCGACTTTGCCGCCACATGCAGGGTGCAAACCTGAGCACATGTCTGTAGAAACTGCGAGGGTCAGGCAAAATGCCGCACCTGAGTCTTTTGTGTGTTTGCCCATGCTCATCGTCCTGGCCGTTCCTCCACCCTGCACCGATGCTTCCCACACTTCGCTCATTCTTGCCGTTGATGCGCGAGCTTTGCAAATTTTCATCGAGCGCTTTCTGCACCCGCCCAGACTGCGAGCAGCCTTCCTCTTCGTGGCTCTCATGCACCTAGGACGAGCTCACAGAGGTGGTGAACCTTTACATGGGCACGGAGTTGAAGATATACGTAGCCTGGCAGCCTGTTGCAGGCATTGACCAGATTTTCTGTTGTACTCAGTACATTGAGGTCTACAACATCGAAGCAGAGAGCATTAGGGAGGCCAGGTGTTGAGTCGGAGCTGCCTGTAGTTCAGCTTGGGGCAGAGGCGTTGCAATGTGTTGCACACGAGGTCGTGATTGTTCCATCGACACAATGGGGCGGTTCTCGACTGAGACCATATTCTTGAATAGTAGAGAGCATGCATATGCTCTCCAGCTCGCTTGTCGCAGGGTTAAGGCGTCCTTGCAATAGGTGGATACGGTCTCCGAACTCAGGCTCTGCTCCGCCATGGGGACCAATTATTGTTTGGCCATTTTTCTCTGGCATATTGTTTTTTGGTGATGGGGTGGTGGGTTCTCCGTATTTCCATAGGCAAAGCTATAAGGAAAACTTCAATGTTCTGCATACTCCAAACGCAAAAACCATTAGTTTCCTTGAATTTTCTCTTTGTTTTATCAGGAAACCTTCATTTTTTTATGTTTTGATGGGAGAACGTATAGTTTTTGTTTTTCATGGGAATTGAAGGGAAGATGCTAGGGACAAAACGAAGGAAATATATAACAAAAGAAAGAAGGAAAGAACTAAACAAACGAAATATCTCAAAGGAGGGAGCAAAAACTTAGAGAAACAAAGAAAGAAACAACGAAACAAAGAAAGAAGAAACGAGTTGGAGGGCAAGCCGTGCAAGCTTGTTACAACCCATATGAGTCGTCTTGAAACCCATCATGCAAGCATTGTGTCTGCAACTGGCAGGGGCTGCGCCCCATCATGCGAGCATTCTGTTTGCAAATGGGGGTTGCTGCCCCCCAACCCCCGCACTTTTTTGAGCCGCACAGGCTTGCATGAAAGCAGTCTCGTTGAAGCCCATCATGCGAGCATTGTGTTTGCAAGGGCGGGGAGCTGCCCCCGCTTGGACTTTTCGGGATTTGATGAAAAGAGACGGATTGATGTCTCTTCAGCTTGGCACACGGCTATGGCACACCGTCTTCGCAGACTCCCGGTTTCGGGAGCGAAACCAGCCCACCTCCCCTCCGCGAGATACCGAGTGGCCAGCCGTTTTGATTTTGTTGAAGATGGATCAGTTTGCCACCCGTCGGTTCGGCGTCGGAAAAAGGCATGATGTGGTGCCCTAGGCGTTTGTCGACTGAAAGTGCTGTTTGCGAAGTTGGAACCCAGGTGATGGTGCGATTGGCGCTGACATCAGGACGGGCCTTCTTCATCGCATTCCCGCACCGAGGTGGGACTAGCATGGCTTGAGGACCAAGGTTATCGTCATATTCTTCGTGCATGCGTGTGTGCTCGTTTCAGAAAGTCTCGGTAGTCTTGTGGTGTATGTGAGCTCAACTGCTATATTGGAACAAAACCATGAAAGCCATTAGCCGTAACTCAAAAATCTGTCTGGTTCTCGGACGATTTGTCAGGAAAGATAATTCATGGTTAGTTGTCGTTCACGAAATCTGCACTTGGTCAACAATGTTTTAGAAGGGCCTTGGAGTCTCGCAAACCAGCAGCGAAAAGCATGTGTCGGGATTTTCAACCGTAACTCCAGGCTCTTCTTTGGAAAGTGTGCTGTCCGAGAGACCTCTGCGTTAGCCGCTCTAATCTAGAACAATGCATCCCCGCATCCACGCGAAGCCTTGCACCGTTTTCCATGTCAGCCCCAAGCTTCAAAGCCTTACGATTCCAGAGCTTGAGCCGCTAAACCCAAAACATTGAAACATAGGATTGCTCCACAGTCTCGTAGAACGTGGCAAGGCGCCAAGACCCCAAGCAAAATTGCTTTAGTGAAACAGGTTTTCGTCCCACCTGCCCCCTTCCCATTCCCCTTCCCACTTCTCCGTGCTCTCTCGCTGCCCCTCTCCTTACTCCCCTTCCTCCTCTTTCAAGATAGTCATGTGCTGGTCCAAAGAGTGCTTTACGTATGTAGGGCTGCGCATACACACGTGCTTTTCTGCCTCCCTTATCTATCTCAGTCCTGGTCGAGAAGAAAGTTGGACTGCTTGGCTCGAAACTGCACTTTTCGAGGTTTCGGATTGAAGGCGTAAAGAGTTAAGGGTGACGCTGTCCGGCTTTATTCGCTGGGTTTTCGGGGTTGGCCTGGAGCTGGTTTGTGTTTTTCGCACAGTAGCTTTCCAGGCGTGCGCTCAATATCCAGCCACAAGATCTTGGCTCAGTTTTTTGGCCTAAGAAGCGGACTTTGATGGGAATTCTTCCGACTTCTGCGGTAAAACCGAGGCCGCTGCAGAAGCGCGGCAGACAGAAACAGGCTCACCCGGTGACGCTGTCTACACACTGGCAGTGCACGTTTCTCGAAACGCTTTGCAACAGGGGCCGGCAATCGCGCCCAGACTCTGCCCCTGCCCAAGGACATCCAGGCCGGAGAGTAAACATCTGTCCCACAGGCTGTGTGCCCAAAGTCGGCGTGTCGAGAGGGCGCTGGTGCTACACTTCTAAGTTCATCTTTGTCTTCGAGTCGCGTTCTATTCACTTTTGATCTTCTTCTTTTCTCGTGCTCCCGCGACAGAAGGCTGGTTCCTTGGAGCGGCCGCCGGCCGGTCAAGTGGACCCATGCGGGGGGTGCGTCTTTTACTTTCCTGCCATGCGCACTCTGCATGCGAAGTCTTGGGATGATGCAGGACTTGCAGCAGGTGCAGCCCTTGCAGTACCGCCACACTTGTTCATCCGGCTACTATCTTTCACAAGATGTTGCGAGCACTGACCATGTTTGACTGATTGCGCGACATGGCAATTCCACTTGTGAAGCTAGTCTGCATGGTGACATGATGCGACATGCTTCCGCTGTACCTCCGACCAGGTGCAGCCTTTGCTGGCACAGGTTCAGAGTCAGCTGCAGCAGTTGCAAGACCTCCAGCTGCGGGAGCCTCTTCGCGGATCCGTGTCCCTGGCCATCTGCCATTGCCTGACGCTGAGGAGTCAGGGTCACTTGACCGACGTCCAGCAGGAACATTTTCGGCAACTCGTGCGCATGCAGCAGCTGCTGCAGCCCCTTGGTTTGAAGGAAGGTTTAGTCTGTGAGAGCTTGAACTTCTCGGCACGCAGGTCACACATCGAGCAACAAGCACAACAGATGGCTGGAAGCTCTGAGGAACCGTGCAAGCTGTGTGGCTGTCGACTGTAGCTGGGCGAAATTACTTTTGGCGATTCTGGGGCGAGGACGCACCAGTGCCAGCAGTCGGAGCTCTTGCCCCCAATGAAGTTCAGCATCAGGATCAAAGCCAATTCCTAGTGTCGCATTGAGCAAGCGCCATGTTGCTGAAGGATCAAGTTGACGCACACGTTGTCGCAGAGAACGGCTCCGAGGTGCTCTTGACATGATACAGCTGCATGTTCTCTGTTCTTTGAGTGTCATTGTTGATGAAGGCATCTACAGTGCCAAACGGTCATGGCGTTCAAGGTGTTGTTGCATCGCTTGCTGAGGGTCAAGCTGCAGTATAGGCACAGACGGCATCCATACCTTTGATAGTTCTGGTGCCTCGAGTTTCTGCCAGGCACTCCTGGGCGCGAAAGGCTGGTTTCAACGAGCGGTGGGAAGTGCGGCACGCGAACCCCCGTGCAGGTCCCCGGTCTTTGAGTTGCCTGCCGCGGCCAAGGCTATTCCCTGGGTTGATGGCAGATGTTATGCTGATCTGCTTCGGCTTCAGCGAGGGAAGCCTTGCCAGGCAGCCGCGGCTTTGCCGTCTTCTCCGCTTGACATGCTCGCGCCCGGCATCATCTACGAAACAGCTGCTCTTGGGCTTGAGCTTTTGCTGATTGCCTGTTCTCAACTTCCAATTTCTGTGACTTGTCGCAAGCAGCTACTAAGGTTTCGTAACTTGTCCTGAGAAGCTGCTTAGACCAGGCTAAGTGAGCCAAGAAACGCTCGCTGCTCGGCATCCGGAGTTGTCGGAAAACGCGGCCATGTGCAGCATTGAAACGGTTTAACTGATTACAGTCCGAACACCTTTTGCAGATCTGTGACACTGCGTCCTGCAGGGATGAGTTTCAACGTTGAGCCGCTTCGGCGTGCGTCCGAATGGCAGATTTGGAACTCCGTAAATATGACCATGCAGGATTCTTTAAAACTTGCTAGAAAGTACCGAATTACCAACGGGACGGGACGGGAGGCCTTTCCTTTGCTGAAGGCCACAACGAAGCGAGAACCCAGGATCTGATGGGAGGGGCTCCGTTGAGAAGAAAAGCAGAGAAATCGAAACGGTTGCGCTAACACGTCCTGCACAATCCTAGGGGCACGACGCGCCCGCCGCCTCGCCTCTGCACGACGGCAAACACAGACATTTCAGGACTTTGAAAGGCAACGCGATGCGCCCGGCTGAAGCTTCTACTTACTCCATCCGCCGGTGTGCCCTGGAAAGACGATGTGGGGTCATCCTGCCAAGCAGAGAAGGTTGTGATAAGGAGGCCAGCATTAGAACAGATCGAAAAAATGATATGTACGTGAATTTAAGTTTTCGCGCTTCTCGATCTGTTCATGGACGACGGCTCCTCCTCGTCGGCTCAAGCTCCAGCAAGCTCAAACATGGCATGCAGCCGTTGAATTGGAAATGACCACAGATACGGACTGGCGTGTAGCAACAATTGCTCGGTTGGAACGACAAACTGCAGTGAGTGTCGTTGATTGTCCTGTAACGTGCAGCACTACGTCCAGATAGATTCGGTTGATGAAGCACAGCTATGCTGAAGAAAAGTTGTGGGCAGTCGTAAGACAAGGGACCGCATTTGCAGATGTCGCTTGTGCGTTTCATCATTTGTTTATCATCCCCTATCTTGCTTGACTCGCAGCTCTTGGCCATCCAGCACAGAAGAGTCGAACTGAGTGAGATGTCATTCAACGCTGGCCAATTGAGAATACATGGTTGGTTTCCGTTGGGTGGGCAGCGGAATGGTCGACCGGACCCCATCCTCTGAACCGTCAGGGCCTTCGAAGGATTCACTGGTGCTGAAAACCCTGGACTTGCCGTCTGACCTTCTCCTTTCTTCGTACAGCCTCGTCGCACCATGCGGATTTTGACTTGGAATCCCGGCCAAGGTCTGCACATGCTGCCCATGTTGCAGCAGAAGGCAAGGGGGTCTGTGGAAGGCTCACCGAAATCAACTTCAACAAGCTGACATGGCAGTTGGAACCTGGCGCAGGCGATGATCTCGACATGAGCAACTTCCAGTGCAGCTCTAAGGTTCAGTCGCTGGGCTTAGAAATCGCCTGGCATAGTCATGAGGCCAAACTGCCCAGCAGCACAAGGTCAGGCAGCTGGAACGCAAGTAGAGGAAGTGGGAATGTGCCGGTGACTTTCTGTCTCACGAGACTTGGGATGTGCGTGCGAGGAGTCACAGCAACTGCGTGGTGCATTGGACAAGTCCGCAGACCCGGCAGAAGCCCGTTAGCATGCGCCTGCAGCCTTCAGCAGCAAAGATGCAAGGTTCTTCAACGATTTCCATCGACATATCTTTGATCCAGTGCTGCTGCGGTTGGAAGCCCTTGCAATCCGGGAGGCCGAGAGATTTGTTTTCGCTGGTGGTTTAAGTTTTCTTCCGATGTTGACGGTCAGGACCCTTCTCAAGTTCACAAAGATTGAACAGGTTCTCAGCATTGCGGGGTGAAAAAAGCTCTCGGCTGTGCCTTCACGAATGTCTTCTTCTTGCAAACTGGCTGAACAAGCGCCGGAGACATCTGATCGTTTGTTTTCAAGCTGTGGGACGTCCATCCAGCTTTCACATTTCAAACATCGTTTGTACCTTAGCAGCCTTAGCAACATTTGTGGCGCCAAGCTGTGGCCAAACGAAGACTTGCCATCAGATTTGCGCTAGTCCTGCCCATCTAGTGTGAAAATGGCTGGCGGTCAGTCTGAGGAGCCAGGAGACCGGACATGGCAGGTGAACCCAGATGCAGGAACCTTGCAAGGATGGGGCGCGTTCGCGGCTCCGGTGGAAGCTGCTCCTGCACACGTATCCGCGAGCCGTCGCGAGATGCCATACGCCCAGTACGACGTTCCAAAAACGTCTGGAGATGAAGAGGGAGAAGATTCTGTGGACGCCTGCAAGCTTCAGGCGCAGCGACCTTGCTAGTGATGGTGGGGATCAGTGAGCAAGAGTGTGATGTGATCTCATGCCCTAGGCACTTTTGTGTGATACTGGTGCTCTCTTCGAGGCTACTCCTCGATCTCAACTGCCAGTGCGAACTGCCTAGTTTGACTTGCGGCCCTGCTTGGGAGGTCTGCCAACATGCAGTTCTGATTGCGACCCAGCCAGTCGCTTGGGAGCGACATGGTCTTGCAAGGTTGCAGCAGATCTGACCGCTCTGAGGTCGGAAGCCGCGTCATCCCGGCTGACCAGCGTCGCGCCCTTGCTCGTTGTCACCTCAACTGTTCTGAACGGCTCAGCCCGAGGTGGATATGCTTCAGGTAGCTTTGCATAGAGCTCAGAGAACCTTTGGTCTGCCAGAACATGCCAGATCCGCCATCGAGCTTGTGTTAATGCATTTCAGGAACCACATATGCCGGCACTGCGGAATTGACTCCGTGGACAGGGAAGAGGCCGGACATCCGAAAGTTTTTCTTTTGCTGAGCAGTCTTGGCTTTCCTCAAGAGGCCGATGAGCTTTGGGATGGTCCAATGGATGCGGGTGTGCTGTACCCAATTTCCACTTCGTTGCAGCGGTCTTCAATCGTTTCGAGCCCGGCGATGGCTCAGGTTTTCTATCAGTTTGCACGCGAGTACTTCAGTTCCTTGTGCCGCGTCCTCACGATGGATGTTTCACTCTTGCAGAATGAGTGAGCGTTAGCAGCTGTCCAAGTGTTCCATAGGCGAGGAACAGGATGCAAAAAAACTTCAGCCAGCGCTTCATCATGTCTTCATGGTCCGCATCGGCTGCCCGTTCACAGAGAAGCGTATCACTCACAGGTTCCGAAAAGCAACATACAGTTGTGTTTACACTCATACTATATAGCTTGTATATATATATATATATGTATAGACATATATGTATTGGGGTACCATATAGCTACCCCCCCCCCGGGTTATCCACCCGTTTTGGGGGCGAGGGAGGAGTTTGGACCGAAAGGTCCGTTTGGCGGGCCGCGGTGTGGAGCATGTCTCTCTCTCTCTCTCTCTCTCTCTCTCTCTCTCTCTCTCTCTCTCTCTCTCTCTCTCTGTCTCCCTGTAAGTTTACACGCTGACCCCCCGAGCAGAAGTCTCTTGTTTTCATGTCGTTTCCAGGCCAGAGAAGTTGAACAATCATCGACAGCACAGATAGCAACAGCTACAACACTCCATGCCCAAACTTAAACCCCGCACCGAAAAGCAAAACTTACCTATAGTCTTTATTGTAGTTCCTTTTGGGTGTTACCTTATACGGTTTTTAATATTAGTTGTAAGTCGAGTTACCCTAATTACACCCCTAGTTACTAAGTCCCATGATCCTTTAAGTATACCCTAAACCCTAAACCCCATAAATCCCTTCGAGGAGCCCTATAGAACCCCTTTAAAGAGCCCTGTATTGTAACCCTAGTTACGAGGTCCCATGATCCTTTAAGTAGACTCTAAACCCTAAACCCCATAAATCCCTTTGAGGAGCCCTATAGATCCCTTTGAAGAGCCCTGTATTAGAACCCTAGTTACTAAGTCCCATGATCTTTTAAGTAGACCCTAAACCCTAAACCACATAAATCCCTTTGAGGAGCCCTATAGATCCCCTTTAAAGAGCCCTTTGTTATAACCTTGGTTACTAAGTCCCATGATCCTTTAAGTAGACCCTAAACCCTAAACCCCATAAATCCCTTTGAGGAGCCCTATAGATCCCCTTTAAAGAGCCCTTTATTATCACCCTACCTGGAGTCTCCATTGTAGTTCCTTTTTGGGGTTACCTTATAGGATCCTTTTTATATATTTGGTTATACCAAAAAAGGAACTACAATGGAGACTATAGGTAGTTACTAAGTCCCATGATCCTTTAAGTACCTCCCGAGCTGACTCTTCGGCTGTGCTTGGTCCAGGGTTCGGCCGGCTCGGGCTTTTGGGTGCAGACCCTTACCTAGGATGCCCAGTAGTACCCTTATTCCTTTTTTGTAGTCCTAGGTTCCTTATAAAGTTACCCAATACCAAAAAAAGAGGCCTTTTTATTCTTAGGTTACTGGGTATCCTAGCTTACTCTTGTAATTAATACAGGGGCCTTAAATTATCAGAATATAGGGTTTCTTCATTTGGATCCTGTTAAAGGGGCTTATAAGGCCTAGAAAAAGTATAAGGGCCATAATACGGATTTAGTATAGGGGCCTTAATAATTCGAATAGGCTTTTGGGGCCCAATATGCTATAAAATTGTTTTGGTAATTTTTGGGGCCCTATAGTAGAGGACCAGGCAAGTACCCTGAATCCCAAACCGCGGCTATGGTAGAATGCTTCCTTTCAACCCCCCCCCCTCAAAAAAAAAAGACGCAACCTCCGCGAATGAAATCCTAAACCTTTAGAGCCCCCAAAGCCCTACATAAACCCTAAAGCCTGGAACTCCAAACCCCCTAACCGTAAACCTAAACCTATAGTTACTTACCTGTGCTACTTGGGGGTGTTCCTTGTTATAGTTTTCGTCTAAAGTAGCCCAAAACCCTGTTCTACTCATGAGCCCCTATATTGGGTCGGTGTCCTTGTGGCCCCTAAACCTGCAGTACAGCCTAAACCCCAGAACCCTAATATAGGGGCCTTAATAATTGCCTATAGTGTTTTGGTGTTCCTTAGTAGAATTATGGTATAATTTAGAAGCTGCCCCCACCCTGTAATAGTGGTATACTAGGAATATAACAGGGCCCTAATATAAATCTATATAATCCTTATACTCACTATTACAGGGTGGGGGCAGCTTCTAAGGTATAATGGGCCCTTCTACCCCGAGGTGTAACCCAGGTCTGAGAATCGCGAAGGCTGCGAGGCAGGAGGCTACGTTTGGCAGGCAATTGCATGGAAGTTGATTGCGGGGTATTGAAGTTCAATCCCGAGGATTGAACTTCAATACCCCCGGATCCAAGATTCAAGATTCCTGGACAAAGCTTCCCCAGGATCTTGAATCTTGAATCTTGGATCCGGGGGAGTATTGAAGTTCAATCCGCGGCATTGAACTTCAATCCTCCGTCTGTCAGGGTTGTGCAAAGACAATGTGTTCTACCATCGTGTGCTCGTGCGTTAGTACTGCACATGCAAGAGGGCTCGGAGTGTGCACGTTCATGGATACAGACTACAGATGCTTGAATAATGAGGGGTCAAGGGCAACATGGACAGGATTTACCCCAAACCTGGTGGATAACTCGGGGGGGGGGGGGTACCATATATATATATATATATGTATATATATATATATATATGTATATGTATATTCACGGACATATCCTACAGGAAGGCAGCATCATCTGAATACGCCCATCAGAAAATCTGGCGTGAAGACATCTGCATAGTCATATACAGTCGATCATGACCATAATCAATCATGCCGAATCACATTCCACGTGTAGCACGTGCGTTTTGAGCTCTACACAACCGTATGTATGGTGAATCAGTTGTCAGGTTTGCTGCAATGAGTGTTCTCGCAGCCTAGCACATGTGGACACTCGCTTCGTGAAGGAAGCGCTTGAATTTTGCCTTTCGCGGCTGGTGCAAGCACCGGACAGCCTTCTTGAACAGGCCAGAACCCGGCAGCGATTGAAGCTGACGACTGTGGCAAAGTCTGTAATTCATGTAATCTAGGTTAAACACCTGCGGCACTTTGTTGAGGGCAAAGAACGGAAAGTAGCAGAATAGCAGAATGTCCTATGTCAGTCCAAGTGCGGCCTCGTATGAAGCGCATGGAATAGCGGCATGCTCTTGGAGCATTCGGCGCCAGCCTTGCAATGGCCCGGGCTTCGAGACGGTAATGCCGTAAAGTTTGCGCATGGAGCCGAAGCGGAACTCCTGGCACTGGAAGCAGCAAGTCGCGGTACGTCGTGGAGGAGGAGCGCTGGTCCAGCTTCCACCTGGCGGCTTCGGGACAACGGAGTTGTTGGTGCCGCTTGCAGATTTGATCCCGGCTGTTCCATGTGATTTCACTTTAGCCACCCATCGCACTGGTGATACACGGTTCGCAAACTCTCATGAATGGGATGCTGTTACTGCCCGGTGTTTTCACTGAACGCTCTACCAAAGACAATCAGGAGTTTGTTTGCATGGATCTGAATTTCGCTCCGAAGTTTCACATCTTAGTCAACCTCCGACATGAGAGTACCGACCGGCCGCCGCTGCAGTCTGAGTGGTGAAGGGTGAGATCGCTTGGTCTCTTGTCTTTCGAACATGAGTGGCCCATGTCCTAGGAAGTAGTTTTCCGTACTAGGACCGGGCATTTCGGAAGCACATAAGGAAGGGGATCTGCCGAACAGCTGTGCTCCCTCAGGTAGAATGGCTCAAGGACCTGAAGCTGCGAGCGCGTTTGGACGAAAAGACGTTCACGAAGGCGATTGCTTCCTGTGGCAAAGGTCCTAAGTGGCAGCAAGCGCTTCATCTGCTGGATGTAATGAAGCTCAACGGCTTGGAAGCCCGAGCAGCAGCATTCACTGCGGCCATCTGGGCTTGCTCCAAGAAAGAAGATGGGTCACTACAGGCTCAACGCGAAGATTTGGCCTTTCAGCTACTCGGTGAAATGCAGGCCGGGCGAATCCGGCCATACGACGGCACCTGTGCGGCTCTGGTGGCATGTGAACTCGGCTGGCCCCGAGCTTTGGGCCATGTCGTTCGGATGCGAGCTGATGGAATCCGGCGCATGCCGCGGGCGCACATCGCTGCAGCGTCTCTCTGCGAGTCCATGGAGGGAAACTGGGCAATGTCACTGGAACTGCTGGAGACGTCACGGCAGTCGACCGACCTGTCTGAAGCTGCAACACTGCCAGAAGTGTTTCCAACTCAAAGGTCTGCCTTCTGTCGAGGCCGACAATGGAGTTTTGCGATCGGGGCACATCTCGAAGCGAAGCGTCACCAACTGACTGCGTCGCTGCATGCATACAATCAGCTCATGAAGGCCTGCAGCGCCAGGGCAGGACATTGGCAAGAAGTGTTGGGCCTGTTGAGTGAGATGTGTGACGAGGACCTGGCACCCAATGGCGAAAGCTATGAAACGGCGTTAAGGTGCTGCAGTGATGCATCTGAGTGGGCATTGGTCGTGCAGCTCTATGAAGAGCTCACCCTCTACAATTTGCCAAGACAACGGGTCCATGCCCTGGCAGCCAATGCATGCATACAGCTTGGTGATCAGCTTCGCCTCGCAGCCTTCAGCGATCCAGGGCCAGGGATCAGGGAAGTACCGGCGTAGCGGCTGCACACTTTTAAACTCTTGGTAGACTGGACGGCCTGTTGCAGTTCAGCTTCGTGCTGTAAGCCGAACAGCATAGGACGCGACGCATCAGCGCCAAATTTAGCAAACTTGCGAAAGGTAGTACAGACGTTGCATAAGTTCAAGCTTGCATGAATTGGGCGGTACATGCTTGCAGGCCTTTTTTGTATGGGTTGGCTCGTGGAAGCTGTAGCGAGTAGCGAGACCCCAGTTCGCAAAGATGGAGCGTTCTGAAGGTCCAGCTGAGACTGATAGTTTTGCGGGTGATTGCTGATTCTTGATCCGTTTCATGGAGGTGCGCAAGAAGCTCGAAACCTTTGGCCGCATGTGGCACATGTCTTGGAGATCGTCGCGGAGTGCTCAACGCCGGAGAAGTCCACACAACGTGATGCGCTCGCACGTCTGCTGGCCCACAGCTCGGGTTCTGCAGGTGGGCGGTGCATGGGTTGCAGTTGAGAGAAGTGGCTTGACAGTAAGGCAGTCGCCGACTACTATCCCAATCAGCTTGATCACACGCTGAGGACACGGGATGGCGCGAGGGAGTCATACAGTCATGAATCTAGTTGGTTAGCAAGAGGTTGCTTCAGCATATCCAAGCACCGCCAAATTAAACTTGCGCGAAGGACAGCTGCACTGGCAGTTCTGAGGAAGATGGAGTTCGGGGGAAGTCAACCAGTTGGAGCTCAAGCCGTTCTTGACCTGGTAGCAGAGGCAGCAGTACAAGCAAAGTGCTTGGCTCCCATGAATGCGCTGCTGGACATGTTTGAGGACGGTGCCCCACGGGCAAAGCTTGTAAGACAATATTGCGCTTTGCTGCTCCAGAATATGCTGGAGATCGCGCCTGCAAGTCATGGCAAACGTCTAGAGGCTTGCTTTCTTCAGCTGGCTGCTGACAAAGCAGTCGCAGTGAGAGGCTTCACGATCCCGTGCCTGGCATCGCTGGGAACACGAGCAGCGATTGCCGCATTGGTCGAGATGACTTGCAGTGACCTGGTGTGCAAGGTACGCTTCGAGGCGCTGAAAGCTCTCAGCTTCCTGAAGGCCGGTCGTCAGATTCCCGCTCCGAGCATCTCTGTACTTCTGGCCAAGGTGGCTGCTAATCATGCTAATCTCTGCCCTGGTAGGCAAACCATGCGTTGGCCCTGGAGCCGCACTTGATAGAGATGCTGATGGAGCGATCCATGGACATCTCTCCAAGAGTTCGATGCAGTTTATTCAAACTTTTTGGCATGACGCGTCCATTTTCTTCTCCGAGGCTTTGTGGCTTACTCAGGCAAGGTTTGGTGGATACAGACGCAAACGTGCGGCGAGAATGTGAGTCCATGCTGTGGTCCTGGCTTGCACCTGTAGCTGGAACTGGTGAGGAGAGCCAGGATCATGGTGATCATGGCGCGACATCTCGTGTACTGAAGCTAATCGAGCACTTTATTGTCGCCCTTCCTTCTCAGAACCAGACTGAAACGCTGGTTGAGGCCATCTTGCAGAGGCTCCTGGAGAGGGACAGCCTGGAGAGCTGTGGGAATGGGGATTTTGTGTATGTTGCAGAACAAGCGGTTCGGCTTCTCTTGCATGGGGAGAGTCTTGACAAAGCCCAGATCATGCTTGGCCGTGTTGCTATCTCGATGGATCCGGGCATTTGGAATCTTACTGATGCTCTTAGGGGCTCTCCGCTGCTTCGGAAAACGTTGGAGGCATTGGACTCTGGCAACACTTCCACCCTGCGTCAGCTTCTCATGGTGCTGCTCAATGCAACTATCTGCGATGAGGTGGCAGCAAAAACTTTATTGCAGATCGCAACTGCAACACTGTTGCGCTGTCCTCTTGGGGAGGCTTCCACAAGACAATCTCGTGCAAATGCTTTTGCTGCAGAAAGAGTGCAGAAAGTGGCGTTGGATCCTTTTCGATTAGCCGTTCTGCTGGCCAGACAGTCTCTGCAATCGTCAGCTTCGGAAGGAAGGACACGCCATCGAAGCAACAATCAAGTGGAGTCAGCCTTGTCAGAGTCCATTCAGACGGTGCTTCGCGTGCTTGTGGCGAGAGCTAAAGCCAGTTTTCCGTCAGCAGAACTCCACAGCGAAGACTGCGGTTTGTCAGGAATCACCAAGGACATCGCAGCGTATGGGGTAGCGGTCTGCAATTTGCAGCAGAGAATTCAAGAACTTCGCACGAAGTGTCAGCAGCTCGCCGGCGCGAGAAACTTCGTGGCTGCTTATCCTCTGAGGCAGGAAATGGAACACTTGCAGAAGCAGCGCAAGGAAGCACAGTGCAAAGCAGAGGATGCCTTTGCCGCACTGGGATCACACCTTGCACGCATTCTTTGTGTTTGTGAGGCGTTTCTCTCTTACAGAGAGGCTGATCTCGAGGATGATTTTGCGTTGGATGTCCTTCGCCAGGCCCTAATGCTAGTGGACTCCGTCCCATCCAGTATTGGTTCAACCTCCTGGCCGACGTTGCGTGCCCAAGCTATCCGGTGCATTGCTTTACATGCATCGATTTCTCTGGAAACGGCTGTGCAGCACCGATGTTTTTTTCAGTCGGTGCTCGGGCGGTATGTTCCGGAAGTTCTGTCATCCGCTCATCCCCAACTTGATGCCGCTGCAGCAGCGGAAGACATAATCCTGACGTCGGTGTCTTTTCTTATCGATACCTTCTTCCTTCATGACCTGGAAAGCTGGGACTTGTTCGATCCCGAGACCGGCAACCACACTCACACCCAGGACACCGTCTGCCCAAAGCAGGCGTAGACTTGAAGCGAACATCATGTTTTTGAATTGTTTGAAGGAAGTCGAAGTTTTGGCTTGCAGAGGACGCTTCAGACGAGATCTGTGAGCACATTGCACCACTTCTAGCTGGCCTGGCAGGCCCGACAGAAGAGACTATCCTGGCTTTTGGAGCTGACCCTCGCATCGCTGAGGCCGGCGTGGAAGCTGCTCCCTGCAAGAAGAACTCGCTTCGCGTTTCTGTACCCTTCTGCTTTTCAGAGGCTCGGGGATGATAAGCATCAAGACTTTACAAGAGGCATTTGGGATGTGATGGACATCGCTGCAGGCATTCAAACCGAATCGCCAGCGCATTGCTGGGTGGCTGCCTGGTTGCTACAGAGCGCATTTGCAGAAGCCGATCTCGTCGAGACTTCTCGTAGTCTGGAGGCTGAGCTCTCAGCATTTGTCTTGCAAGATGAGAGCACAGTGGTGTTTGTTGCAGCTGTGACGCATTTGAGGCGGCTGTGTTGAGCGGACGGCTGCTAAGATTCTTCGCATCTTTGCGGCGACTTTCCTCCTGCCACTTGAAGGCCGCTCAACCGGGGCAGGGTAAATATCAGGACTCCAGTGTGACGAGGAACAGTTGCCGGACTCGGGTGCAGAGAAGCGAAAATCTGAAACGGCTTTAGTTCACAAAGACCACGAGGCCAAAATCAGGCCGTGACAAACACAACAGCATTCTTGAATCCTGAATGGCCGTGTCCTCAAGCACGCATATGCTAGGTCTTTTGGTGCGGTTTAAACTTCCCAACATGTGGCACAGTTGCGTTGATGGTGGCTATTCTTTGCATCTTGTCTGGCATGAGGTACTGGCTATTGCTGCAAGAGGATTTTTGTTCTTTGACATGTGGCAGCTACCAGGACCAGCAGCCGAATCCTCAACTGACGCGTTGGTCAGCATGTCTTGCCGTGCTGCGGGGCTCGACTGTGTTTCGGTCAGGTTGTTCATTCCATGTCTTCTATGATGTTGTCACGCCGCTGCCTCTGCAGCAGACATACTGACCTTGGGCACATTGTTCCCAGACTTAGGAGTCTGGTATGTTCAGCCTTCTGCGACTGGCGGTGGCAAGGCCTGTGTTTTCCCAAGGTGTCGTCAAATTCGTCAGCCGGGAGCTCTCCAGTGCAGAAGGCATCCTCCGTAGGGTTCCTGCAGTCATATGTGGGCGGGCTGTGTGGGTGTCGTTGCAGCGCAAGGCGTTGATGCAGCAACGCTGCTGCCTCACCCGTCAATGCGTGTCACAAGCATCGCGCACTCTTTGAATGCTTCGAGGGAATGGTGGCTCCATTGCCTTTGGCGTCCATTGGCCTTACTCTGCCTGGTCGTTTCCTGAGCTCCTTGTCTTCTCACGGTGGCCGGCGGGAGCTTGTTGGACACCGAGGAAAGAGCAGCCCTTGGAGTGGATGGGGATCCGAGAATACTATGCACGCTTCCGCAGGAGCCGAGGGAGATAATGCTGGGGGGAAAGTAAGGTTCTGGTGCCCCGATGCAAAATTTCTCGTCTTGCTGGCCACTTGCAGGCACTTCTTGCTGCCCTTTCTGGAACCGAGCCATCGGACAGGATCTGAGAGGGCGATACGATGGTTTGTGTGACCATGTGCAGCGACGCCACCGAGGGTAGCAACTTCGCCTTTGCTCCAGAACATCGCCGAGTGGCCATGGCATCAGAGGACGGCGGCACCGGGGCGGGCCCACCGATCTGCCGATTTTCGATTCTATTCCGTTCTCAGGTGGCCTGGGTTTTGAACCGTTTTGCAGAGCTTTGTGGCTGCTGGAATAGGCCTGAGCCTAGGATGACCTTGAGTGCCCGTCCGGCAGATACGGCCCAGTCGACAGGTCGAAGTCGAGTCGAAAGCTTCATCGAGAAGGCTGTATGGTGAAATCGTGAATAGTTAGTAGTTGTCCATGGATTGTGTGCCAGGCCTCCCCCAAGGTCTTCTGGAGCAGAGAGCACGTCCGCACCCTCCTCCTGCGGCTTTCTCAGGGGATGATATTCTCTTGCCCTGTGCTGGAAGGCCTCGCATCCTTCTGCTCCACGTGTTCGGATCCAGAATCTCAGGAACCAAAGGGTCTTCGCCGGGTCAGGCTTCCTTTCTTGAAACACCCCGAACGTTGCAGAGGACTGGCAGGCCATCTACACATCTGCAGCGAAAGAACGGTCGAGGACAAGCCGCTAAGTGAAGGAGAACAGCACATGGAGGGTCAATGTAAAGGCTGCG